ATAATCCTGTTGAGACCAGAGAGGAACACAAAGAAAGCAATCATGGGGCGAGGTGAATGTATCAAATAATCCTATCTGCTCTGTATTTTGCATTCAACAAACACAACTAGAAGCAATACATAATTAATAAATCTGAAAAAAAATTGAATCTTACATTATAGTTGTCGTTTTTGTATGATCTTTTTTTTTACAATGCCTGGTCTAGTCTTATATCAGTAAATTGACAAAAACTGAAATAACTACATATCCATACCCTCCTCGCACTTTAATTTGCAAAAACGGATACATATAACGAATTACTACCAAAAATCCAATTAAAAAGGCTGTTGGGAAATTGGATGTCCGTGTGTATAGATGCAGCAGTGTCAAATGTATTATTCATCATTAAAAAATAACATAATCCTTGATCAATCAAATCATCAATTGTAATACCACCTTCATTTTATATATGCTGTCCTGCCCATGTGAAATACTCTAGAGGAAAAAACAGAAGAAGTTGAAACTGAATTTTTGAAGACTATGCCACTATCAGTTCTGGTAATGACGACTGTGCAATGGCCAACTATTATTCAATGTTCTAATTAAGACTGATTTCAAGTACCATTATTGTAATTACACATACTGTAAATTTTCATTATGCCAGAGGCTATCAAAGTTTCCTTATTGTTAGTTTTCCAATATGAATCACAACATATTTTCTCCTCGGACCGACTTCACAAGGGTTTAATTCCGCCAGTCATTTTGTGAGAAATAGTGAAAATGTTCTTTTTTTGTTTTTCTGAAATGCCACCTAAATAAGATGCTTTCTTGCTTTTTGGTCAATGCCAATGTTTTAATGGATGCAATATTCTGCTACAATTAAGCAGGGAATGGAGCTGAGTAAGGTCATCCTGCCTGGAAAAGTATGCCTGCACTCACTATTATGTATTGAGGGAAATAAGTAATCACCCTTACAGGTTCCATGCCTGTAATCATAGAAATACAATTACCAAATCTACAGACTAATGTGGAAATACGTCTTTCCCACATGTTTCTGCAGAACTGATCATGTCTAAAACTTGCCAAAATACTACTATACAATAACCCTCCATCAAGCAGACACTGTGCAAGGGGAGGATGTATTATTTCGCCAAATGTCTTGGTATGCTGCTACCATCTAGTGGACATACACATCCATATACACATCCATGGGACATACCCAGGGCTTATTTGAGCGTTTAGTGAGTTTAATTTGGTTTGCTTGTCACGGACAAATTCGGGATTATACTCTGTGTAAAGTTGCTCTTCCCATACTGTATATGTATTCAACTACAGAGTGAACCCTGTATTTTACAACAAGATGTTTTCCTGGAAGGTGAAACAGTCTCTACTTTATATGCACCCTGATATACAGTACATATCAAAGTCAATTGACATTCAAACAAACTAATAAACACACAATATGCCTCAATACAAAATCAATCTCAAATTAAATGCAATTCAGGCCCTGCCCTTACTTTTGCGTACTCCCTGATGGGTGGTGTGCAAGATTAAACAATACTGCAAGTGAATAAAAGGGCTTGGCGATGGATCAGTAAAGGGGTAAACAGGGGGAAAGTCATGTGGGCATTTTTGGATATCAACCTGCTCTTGTTCGTGTACTTCCTGTTGTTGTATTCCTACTTTTCTTCTTCTGTGCCCTCCCATCTTTATTCCACCTCCTGCCAGCTACAGGGACAATTTCATCTAAATGGGATGCACAAGGCTGGAGATGTGGTTCTGGGTGGGCTATTTGAGATTCACTTCTTTTCTGTCTTTCCTGACCTGTCTTTTACCTCAGAGCCACAACAGCCTACCTGCCACAGGTTAGTCTGTCAGGGAAACATTGAAAAGCAAAAAGTGGGGGAGGTCAATCTCATTAGAGTAATGTATTTTATATAATAAGAATTTACTCTGAAAGGGAAAAAAAAAAGGCATTTTGTATTTGTGCCATTTTGGACACATCACTTTTTTGCACAGCCTCCTTTAGTATTGTAATAACTGTTGCTATTCAACTGGCTTAATTGTTTTCAAAATATGTAATTGTGCAACCTGTACATGTCTACACAATTGCTATTTGATGTTGTTTTTTCAACAGTGGTATTTCTGTGTTAGTTTTGATATTCTAGGATTCAGGCAGGCCCAGAGCATGGCCTTTGCTATTGATGAGATCAACAGAAACACCAACCTGCTACCTAACGTGACTTTGGGATATAGTCTTTATGATAACTGCGTCAAACTAGGAATTGGATTCCGTGCAGCGTTGTCATTAGCCAGTGGTCGAGAAGAGCAGTTTATATTAGACGATACCTGTGCAGGAACCCCTCCGGTCCTAGGAATTGTGGGTGATTCTTCCTCTACACGTTCTATTGCCATCTCCACTGTCCTAGGTTTGTACAGAATACCTATGGTAAGTTTTCCGCCGTAAATCTTTCGAATCATTTTGATTTAGTTTCAAATTGAATGTCAATTGTAAACATGGACTAATCCACTCGAAAATTGTAAAGGGCCGGTAAAGGCTTTGAATGTTTTTAGGCTGTATAGTCTGTCTTTTTTAACAGGTGAGTTACTTTGCCACATGTTCGTGCCTGAGTGACCGGCAAAAGTTTCCATCCTTCTTTCGGACGATCCCAAGTGACGCTTTCCAGGTGAACGTCTATCAGCAAAATAAAAAAGCATAAAAAAAGCTGTTGCACATAAACATTCCTCAGAAAGAACATCCCTGTGCTGCAATGAAAAATGTATTCGTTTAGCGTAATACCTGTCACATTCCTTGTGCCATTGACGGAGCTGTTTTGTCCGAGCTAACAATGCTGAAAGGCAACTGTTAAACATGGTCCATTGTGGAACCTGTTTATCAGGTTCCCAACTGAATGATTATTCCAGCCTGTGCACTAATCCCACCACTCTGCATTTACTTAGGTGCGTGCTATGATTCAGATTCTCCGGCACTTTGGCTGGACTTGGACAGGTCTGCTGGTCAGTGATGATGATTATGGACTCCATGCTGCCAATTCCTTCCAATCTGACATGGCTCAGTCTGGTGCAGGGTGTCTGGCCTACCTAGAGGTTTTGCCCTGGGGCAATGACCCAGCAGGACTAAGGAGAATTGTGGATATGATGAGGATATCTACAGCTCGTGTGGTCATTGTGTTTGCACATGAGAGTCACATGATTAACCTCATGGAAGAGGTTGGGCTTGAAATAGTTTAATCATAACTTAATATAATTACACACCTTAATGTTTTATTTATCAAACCGAAAAATTGAAGTGTCAATAAAACGTCCTGTAAAAAATAGATTTAATTGAATGAATCACTTCTTATTGTTCAAGGCGCTGTAAGCAGGGTATTATACTGAGATCACTAAATGAGACAAATTACATTGACCTCTAGTTGTAATGACATGTATTACTATGCTCATAATACTGTGTAAAACACATGTTTGAATGACTAAGGCAAGACACCAACTGTGTCATGACAGTATGAATTTACATATTTTTATATAATGCAATGCACAGGTGGTGAGGCAGAATGTGACAGGGATGCAGTGGATGGCCAGCGAAGCCTGGATTGCAGCTACTGTGCTTCAGACCCCCCAACTCATGCCGTACATAGGTGGCACTCTGGGCATCGCCATCCGTCGAGGAGAAATACCAGGTTTCAGGGACTTCCTGTTGCAAATACGACCTGAACACAACAACAGCTATGGAAATAGCATGGTGAGTTTAACCTTGCAATCTGATCTGGTATTTTGCAATACTAATACAGTATATTATGACACTCTGTTTTGAATACATTTCAGGTAAATCAGTTTTGGGAATACACATTTCAGTGTAGATTTGCACCACCTCATGCAGGTTGGGTGGAAGCTGGGGGATCACTATGCACTGGACAGGAAGATCTAGAGAATGTGGAGACTGAGTTCTTGGACATTTCAAACCTTAGGCCAGAGTACAACGTGTACAAGGCGGTGTATGCCCTGGCGTATGCTCTTGATGACATTCTGCAGTGCGAGCCGGGGAGAGGGCCTTTCAGTGGGAACAGCTGTGGAACTTTGCAAAGACTGGAGTCATGGCAGGTGGGATATCAGTTTACACTCCACCTGTTTAGGTAACTAAATCCTGTGCTTTAGCATTTATTGTGGAGTAGCGTTTAGGGTATAGAATTAAATACAAATCTGTGTGTTTACTAATCTTAAAGCAAATAGCTGAAAGGATGTTCCCTACATGGGTAACAGCAGTGGATAACAATATCAGGTCAGAGCCAACATCTGCTTTCACTGGGTATATGGTATTATCAGTGATGTGACTTCTCTTTAAAGAAAATGCTATGTTGGAATTGTTAGAGGCATGTCTTCAAATGTTCATAGGTGTAGTATTCAGTTGAAATTTTGAATACTAAGCACTGATGTGTCCCCATGGTTATTTTTTATTTTCCTCTGTCCCTTTTTTTGATAACTATAGCTTGTGTATTACTTGGAAATGGTCAACTTCACCACACCATTTGGTGATCAAGTGTCATTTGATGATAATGGGGATGCCATACCAATATATGATGTCATGAACTGGCTGTGGCTCCCTGACGGAAGAACTAAAATTCAGAATGTGGGTGAGGTTAAAGAGTCAGCCAAAGGTGAAGAACTCACACTTGATGAAGACAAAATCTTCTGGAACTCTGAATCCAAAAAGGTTATTCCTGATTATTCAGACAACTATTTTGTATCCCATGGATGACTCATTATAGCAGTGTAGAAGCACAGTAGCTGCAATCCAGGCTTCGCTGGCCATCCACTGCAGCCCTGTGTAGGGTAACAGATATTTATTTTTCTACATATAGGCACCCAGGTCAGTGTGCAGTGAGAGCTGTCCTCCAGGTACCCGGATGGCCAGAAAGAAGGGGGAATCTGAGTGCTGTTTTGATTGCATCCCTTGTTCTGAGGGAAAGATCAGCAATAAGACTGGTTGGTATTCAGTTTTAAACAGAGCAGTTTGGAGATATAATTTAAGCATGTATCTCAACACTTTCCCTGTCTTCTTAGACTCCCTGGAGTGCACCAATTGTCCAGAGGATTTCTGGTCCAGCCCCCAGCGTGACCACTGTGTTCTTAAGAAAACTGA